GTCATTGTTTCAGGCTTAAGTCAGGCAGGGGAAGTAAGGCAGCCAATAGATTAGGAGATTTCTCAAAGACAAATGAGGACTCAAGCTGTGTCAAAGCCGAGGGGCAAGGGTCCATCACCCACTTTTGCTATAGACTCCCAAGTCTTTCCCTGGAGCCTCCCCCATGATTGTGTCTGTCTTAGGTAGTTCCCCCCTTGGAGAATCTTACCCATCATAGGCTAACTGATCAAGCACTGGGGACCAGGCAGGATGGAAAAAAGGAGAGGCAGTGCTCCTACCAGGGAGATAAACTTTGTCTTCTTAGTGGCTTGTGGCCCGAAGGTCGCTCACTCAGCCTTAGCCATGGGGGGGGTTACAGCTCCTGAAACCAGGCAGGGCAGTTCCCACCACTAGCTAAGTGTTGGGTTCCCTGCAACCATTACTTTGGGAAGAATTCTTGGCCAGCCTATTAGAAAAGAAGATGTTCATGGCCCACTTGGCCCATAACTCTGGTCCCACCAACTCCCATACAGGTGAGCATGGCTTTTAACTGGCCCCTGACCACAGATGCATGAGTGAGCCTAGGCAACAGCATGTAAAGTGGAAGCAGTGTATCTCAGTGGGCTCAGCCTGTACTGCCAACCCTCAGAATCTTAAGCAAATAAATGGTTGTCATTTTAAGCCGCTGGGTTTGGGCGTAGTTTGTTACACAGCAGATAATTGATACACTGGTACTACTGGGATTGCCTAAAAGATATTAACTTTCTCTCTTCCTTGAGTCTTTCCAAAGTGATATAATGAATGCAGGGGCAAGACTGCTGATTTAAAAGTCAGTAACCCAAACCTAAATTTCACTGCCTTCCACTTGGTCCCTCTGGAAATGTTTCCTCACTTGTAGAATCAGAGGGTGATACTAAGTGATTGTGAAGGACTTCTTCAGTTCTAACATTCTGACATTCTATTGCATCTTTTTTCCTGTCCTAAATTTTAATTTCAATATTGCCTGAGAAATTTGTCTAGGTTTTCAATCTTTCTCTTTTTCTTTCTGATATCAATTTATGTTTTTCTTAGAGGCTTGCCTATCATGTCTACATTGAATATCTGAATGGTCATCTCTGTCCTTCTCTGTCCACAAGATCCTACTTAAATAAGACATTACAGCTTCCCACACTCCCCACCCCAAGAGCTGCCAGCCTGCTCTCTGTCTATGGGGCTGTCTTTATTTTCCTTATTAATTCAGTTTGTTCACTAGATTCCACATATGAGTGAAAGGGTGATCGAGCAAAAAGAAGAAAGGACTTATGGACATGGTCAACAGTGTAGTGGTTGCAGAGGGTGAGAATGTATAAGGGGGATAAATGGTAATGGGAAAAAAACAATTAAAAATTCATGAGGTATTCAACAAAGAAAAAGCACTGCAGCTTTTCAATTCCTGAATGTCATCAATTTAAGTCAAACGATAATGGATTTGTGGGAAAGAAAAGGAAAAACTGAATTAATTACATTGCTTTGAATTGGGGTATATCATTCCATATCCTTAATATGACAATCAGTGTTTGAGGCCAACCATTTTACATGTTTGATCAAAAGATGGTTTCTGAATGAGCCCTGGTGACCCCTAGACACTACACACAACACCACGTGGGCATTTTGTAACCTCTGCCCATTGTATAAATTATTTTTAGTTCAAGACATATTGAAGAATATTTCCTATTTGAAAAATTCAAATCTGGGTCCTCTCATCAAGTCACATCTCTTTGGGCACATAAGTTTCTCCTGAAAGTTTTCCAAAGCCTGACAGCTGGTTGGGAGCTTGAGTTTGTTTTTTTCACAACACATGAATTGGACCCCATCAGCCTCTCTTGGTTCTAAAAGTTCTGTAATCTCTTCTAAGAGATAAGCCTTATTAAGAAGGTATTCCAATGTCCAGGAGATTTGACAACTTCTACTGTGTCCCACTGACCAATACATGACATTTGCTTTCTCATTTGCTTTCTCATTTCAATGCTATATCATAGCATAATAATTAAGGCAACATTCCAAGCAATAACTAGAGATCTACACATAAGAGGACTGACCTTTGTACAGCTACCATTCCAGATCAACTGAGGTGCCCACTAGGGACCCATAATCCCTTCCCTTAGCTACCACATCTGCTGGGAGCAGGTAACATCTTGTCTTCATCTGAGATTCCTGACCCTGGCAAACTTCTTTTGCAATAAAGTGTAAGGCCCATTAGGATTATAGAAACACTAAAAGATGTGTGCGCATATGTAGGGAGTAGGTCAAGAAAAGATAACATTCATCTGGAAATCTTGAACCTATGTGAGTGGTATGGGAGAAAATTAATAATAATAATAATAACCCACTACATCGTGAATTTTCCCTTTTCTTTCAAATGACCCTCTTTCTTCAGAGACATATATTTTGACCCCCAAAGTCAATGTTTTGTTTTTTTTACAACTATCAATCATGGAGTATTTTTTCAGTACCTGGAATGTGCCCAAGCAAGTATAAATGCAGTGACCTAGGGGAGTTTACCTACACCAGGGGTATCAAAGTCATTTTCACCAATGGCCACATTAGCCTTGGAGTTGCCTTTAAAGGGCCGAATGTAATTTCAACTCCTTAACAGTTAAGGATTAGTTACATTTATACAGTCCTAAAATTATTTCGGCCCTTTGAAGGCAACCACAAGGCTGATGTGGACCCCAGAGAAAATGAGTTTGACATGCCCAACCTATATAATGGAAAGAGAAGTTACACATTCATTCCACAATAGAAGAAAATGTGTGTTTAAATGTTAAACTGAGCAAAACATGTTAATGAAAATTAAGCCTTTGACAAAATATAACCAGAGACATTGAAATTAAGAAGAAACAGAGAAACCAGAGGGGAGTTGGGAGGGGATAATGAGGGGAAAAGGGGGAAGAGTTGTCAAGGAACATGTACAAAGGATGCATGAACAAAGCCAAAGGGGGATAGGATCAAAGGTTGGAGGTGGGGTTGGCTGGGGTGGGTGGGAGTTATGGGGGGAAGATGGAAACAACTGCACTTGAATGACAATAAAAATAATTAAAGAAAATTAAGTCACAAAATTAAGGCCAGCAATTCTAGGACAACAGACCTGTTTGGGGTTGGGCAGAGGTCTTGGAATTTGGGCCCCACGCCTGATTTCCCCTGGATGGTTAGGACTTGAGCAGATACCAGACCTATAAAGCGGGCTTTTGTGAACCTCAAAATGAAATCTGGCTATGGGAGGACTTTAGGACCAAGAGGAACCATCTCTTCCTGGAGCCAGGCAGCAAATCCCGGTCCTTCAAGTCCCCAGCAGCGCCCCCCCCTACCCCCCGCCCCCCACCCCCAGCCTCTGTCGCCCTCACATTCCCAGACACTCGCCATGGGCTACTTGACAGATGCGATCACCCACGGAGGCCCGGTCTGCCTGGAGCAAATTTGACGGCCACCTTCACACAAGGCAGTTCCTTCTTTCACCTCCTCCTCCTTGCCATCCTCCCTCGTTGTCCCTGGCTGCTGTCTCCTGCATGCATGTCGCCAGGCTTGGCAAGCCTAGTAGGACGCCCTGGGGGGCTCCGCACCTAACCCGCCGGCCAGGCGCGCTGAGCTGGAGTCCGCCAGCACCCCTTCCTTTTGCTGGGACTCGAGGGCCGGGCTCCGCCCCTTCGCGCAGATCCCGAGCTCCCTGCCACCCGGGCCACCGCCGTCCCCGGTAGCCCAGCAATCTAGTACTAGCTAGGCAACTGGGGGCGCAGGCCGCGACCGCAGGGCAGGGAGTGCCGAGGATTGGGTGAGGGGCACGGAGGAAAACGGAGGGGGTTAGGAGAAGAGGAGTCAAGGAGCTGAGGAGCAAAGGCGAGCGCCGCACCACCCAGCTTCCCTCAGGCTTGCTCGCTCCGGAAACTTGAGGGTTGCCGCCTGAGCTCAGTCCCCGGGTCACCTTGTCCTGGAGGTAAGTCCCACAGTTCCCTCAGATCTGGTGGAGGAGGGGTCAACTGGAGCGTGGCGGGCCGCGGGCACGGGAGGCGGGCCCTGCGAGGGAGGGATTCCTGGCTCCGCCTCGGAGCGCGCAAACTGGGCTGCGTGGCACCCTCGGTGAGTCCGGGTGGTCGCGGCTGCGGGACCTGTGAGGAGCTGGGTAGCCAGATAAAAGGAGAAAGCCGAGCAAACGAGCAAGATTAGGTGTAAGGGACCGGGTGTTGATTGCAGCTTGGCGCCTGGCCACCCCAGGCGTCCAGGAGATGTGGAGGGGATGTTGTGCAAAGTCAGTGGGAGCTAATGAACGCAAGACCTGGGAGCCTAAAGAAGCGGGGCTGCCCAGGCTGTCAGGGCTCACGGTGTACGTAGACAGGTTTGGAGAGCCCCTAGAAGGACCCAAAAGGATACTGGCTGGGGCTGGGGAGCCAGGGACCAAGATCCATGTGGAACCAGAAAAGAAAGAGGCCTTTGATTCGCAGAGCGGAGTCTGGGTAGGTTGCGAGGGTTCAAGTGCATTCTGTTTGGGATCTCCCAACAAGCTCGCTGAATGGAGGCGGGGTCTCCTGGAGCCCTTCTCTGCGGGGAAGAGCAAGACGGGCATCTGTGAGCTGTCTGCTCCCTGGTAGCCGGGGTACCACGCAGTCCTGATAGCCACTTGCCCAGGCGCGGAGACGGAAGCAAGTGGATTCACTTCTTGGGTTCAAGTTCTATCTCGATTTCCCTAGGTGTAATTTTTACCTCTTCGCGTGCGCTTTCCAAGCACCAGAGAGAGGAATGCATTACCGGCAGAGTTGGGCACTCTACTTAAGAAAGGGGCTTTGAACAAGGGGACAGTGACCAGAGGGGAGAAGGAAGGGAAGTTAAGGGGAAAAAGGGGGAGGGATTTGGAGGAACAAATAGGAAGGACACAGGGACGAGAACTAAGGGGGGTGGAAATAGGAGGGAGGTGGGGAGCAAGGGGCGGGGGAGGCTGGGATGGGAGAAATAGACAAAAAACTGTACTTGAAAAATAACTAAATAAAATTAATTTTAAAAAAAAAGAAAGGGGCTTTGATCTCGGTGTTTCTTTATCAAGATCCCAGTAGAATTGGTGATAGCAGCCCTGCTTTGAGGAGGCTGCCAGTATAGCAGCTCGGCTTTTCTGAAGGATTAAAAGAAGGGCTCCTCTGATCGCATTTCATGTTCATCGGCTGCTTGCATGCAGAGGTTTGGATTCCTGGCACCCAGACTTCAGGTGCCAGCAGCCCTTCTGCGACGTCAGATGCGCTGGTGTGCCCAGGCCACTGGCTCGCTCTCAATGCTTGCGCCTTTCCTGGTCTCGATCCGGTGTTTATTGCAGGAAACACTGGCAAAGGTCTTGGCTGAATTGGGGATTAGGGGGTGCATGACTCCGTTTTCTACTTAGAGTGAGGCTCAGCGGTTGGGGAAGTGCGCGCGTGTTTGTGTATCTGTCTGCCCCGCTCCTACTGTTTGGTCAGAGCCCAAAGAGAGACGTGCTGCGCAGACCTGCAGCCTGTAGGGTTAAGCATCTTGGTAACAGACCGGAAAAAGAGAGCCAACTTTTCCATGCTGAGGTGCAATTGCCTGGGGAAAGTCGCGTAGGTGCAGGAATGTGATCTTCCCAGAAAGATCTGACTGAGAATTCTCAACGTAGCCAAAGTGAAAGTGAGCCGCCAGGGCGGCCTGGGCAGTCCGATGTTTATTCTGGCTAGGACAGGAAGTAGCTGGAGCTGAATATTCGGATGAATTGTTGCATGCTGTGTGTCGTGCAGTTGTGTGGAATTTCTTTCTGGAAATGAGATCGCAGGTACGTGGCCTGTGGGATGTGTAAGAAAGAGTTCCTCCCTTTCTCTAACAGCTTCTGGCACCTTTGCAAGAAGCAAATGTTGATTTGTAGCTGATCTAGGGCCTTCTCCCACCAAGCCTCCACCTACTGCACGGAAAGGGAATAGTCATAATCAAGAGGGCCTTGTTAAATAAAGAAAAAAAAGTGAGAAATCCATGTTTCAAGTTTTTTTTTTAATGGAAAACTTTAATGCTACACAAAGGTGGAGGGAATGGTACATAGAACTTCCAGTACTCCCCTCATCCCACCACCAAATTCATTAACATTTTGCCCTTCTCCCTTGTTTACTGCCCCTTCTCAGAGTTCTGGAGGCCATGTTTGATGGAGGATTTCACATTCCATTGCAAGCTTGTTTCACCTTCAAATGCAACCTCATGTATCTCCAGCTGATGATGTTTCATTTGTATCTAACAGAAATGACTGCATGCCTGATTTAATGATTTCATTAGAACATAGATAATGTTAAAATAAAAATGAAGGTACACTCCCCCTTTCCATTCCAGCACTGAAAAAAACACCTGCAAACATTCCCTGAGGCATGAAGAGGGGAACTGAAAGAAGGGGAAATCTAAATCCTGAGAAAAATAGACGTTTGAAACAATACAGATTTGACATATGCCTTTTGATGTGCAGTAGATACACAAGAATCTAGTTGAAACATCATGGGGAAAATTACAATTTGGGGGTAAAAACTTTAAAAATAATTTTATAATAATAAGCAATTAACTTCTTTCACATTTAATATGACATATTAGTGATACTCTGGACTCAATTCACTTTTCTCATTAAATCTCTTCCCCCCACTCCCTGGGGATTATGACTATTAGAATAAAAAGGTATGTTCTTATGTAAGTTTTCTATCAAAGACATTTGTCAGTGCTATTCTGAGGTTCATGAAGAGAACTAAATATTTCATCTCAATAGGAAAACACTTGGTCATCACACTGGTCACCTTACCCTCTGGAGAGACTCTACTCACTCAAATTTGATTTCAAATGTAGTTTCTGTTGGCTGGAGAATAGCATGGAGAAGGCCTCCAGAGGCAATGAGAAGGTGGCCCCTACACTCACACACTTATATGGTCCCCTTTCACCCTGAACACCTCTGCACCTTCATTTATATAAAAGCTGTTTCTAAAAATTGTCGATGATGTTTGTGGAGGATTCAGCCACACTTCTGAATACCGTTATAAGGTGCACTGTTTAAAGGCATCCTTACCTGACTTTTTGTAATATAAATAATCATCTTATTATTTAGCACTTTTATGTCTTCCTCTCCCCACATAAAACGTTATCTTTCTATGACACCAACATGTCCCTGAGCCCCTGACTTTTTCCTTTGCAGGGTCCCCATGCACATTGGAGATTCTCATGTCCAACATGAACAGACCATGACCTGTAGTTTGAACAGATTTTAATTTACAAATAAAATTCTTTCAATGAGTGGGAGAAAGTGTCGAAGATTGCAGGATGAGGTGTTCATTTGCCAGAAGCAGCAAAGCAGTGAGACAGAGTATCAAAACAGTCTATTGTTCTTTCAATGGAAAGTCACAAGGCCCTTTTGTGGGAACATAATGATATGAAGTGATATTCCACTGTAGTATATTACAGTGCAAACATTGGGTCAACGTGTCAAAAAAGCAAAATATTAAAGATGTTCAAGCATTAAATATTCAAAATATTAAAGATAGGCTGACCAAGTCCTGTCCATGTCACCAGAATTGGAATGTTGTAGTAGGTGGTTTTAACAAATGCGATTGTTAAACATTGTCTGTGCAATGTATGTAGACATTTCAAATTACTCCTGAGAGTTATAAACATGTGTTTTAAAGAAAAGCTGCAGTAACTTTCAAGCACCAGGCTTGAATTGTATTCAAGTGTCCTTGTTGTCCCTTCAGGCAATATACTAGATAGAGGGGAGGGATTAGCGGGGAAGAGACATTTGTGATTTTCTCATGTCTATGGCTGCCTGTCCCTTCTCCCCACCGTATTTTCTAAAGTGCTTGTGAGAAGACAGGTTTCAAATTCTGAGCTCTGCTGCTTGCTTGTTGAATGATCTTAGATCACTTAACTTCTCTGAGATTGTTTCTTTTTTATTTTCCTTTTTAAATTTTTATTTTATCTTATATTTTGATTTCATCTTAATTGTATTTTTCTCATTACTGTTTTGTCCCCTTATATCCTCCTCTGCCAAGCAATCACTTTCTTTTTATCTATATTCATTCCAGGATTTAAAAAAATGATGGCTGTCACAGTTTTTTAAATTAAGGGAGACTCTGGATTGAGAAATTTTAGTGCATCTTAATGGAATGTTTGCTTTGCATCCTATGGCTCTCTAAGAATAGAAAATAAATCAGCTCAGTCCCTTCATTGTACCTGTATCCTACAGCTCCTTCTTGGCAAGGGCCAGAATAAGAACAGTGTGTGCACTTTCATGAAGGTATTCATTCTCCCGTAGGAATGGGCCCGAGTGGTGTAGACATTCATGTCAGCTGAGTTTAGAGGGGATGTTAAAGAAATGCTTATTTAAGAGCGATAGCTTTAACACAACTAAACTTTTTATATGGTGTGCATGTGTAATATGTGTGTATATATTCCCATATACTTACTATACCAACTATGGTATAGAACATATATATATATAGTTGTTCTACAGAGTATATATTATATATATGTAGTTGTTTTATTACAGTTGGTCCAATTATCCCTTTGATCTCCCCTGTCCCACCAACACTCCCTCCTACAGTCAATCCCCACCTAGTTGTCCATGTCCATGGGTCATTTACACCTATTTGTTGATTAGACCCCTCCCCATCTTTCCCCCATTATCCCAATCCCCTCCCCTCTGGTCCCTGTCAGTCTGCTCCCTGTTTCCATGCCTTTGGTTCTATTGTGTTTGTTTCTTTGTTTTGTTCATTAGGTTCCACTTACAGGTGAGATCATATGACTTTCACTGCCTGACTTATTTCACTTAGCATAATGCTCTCCAGAGCCATCCATGCTATCCCAAAGGGTAGGAGCTCCTTCTTTCTTTCTGCTGCATAGTATTCCATTGTGTAAATGTAACATAGTTTTTCTATCTGATCACTTACTGATTGGCACCTAGGTTGCTTCCAGCACTTGGCTATTGTCAATTGTGCTGCTATGAACATTGGGGTGCATAGGTTCTTTGAAATTGATGTTTGAGGATTCTAAGGATATAATCCTAGCAGTGGAATTGCTGGGTCAAAAGGCAGTTCCATTTTTAGTTTTCTGAGGAAATTCCATACTGTTCTCCACAGTGACTGCACCAGTCTGTATTCCCACCAACAGTGTCCTAGGGTTTCCTTTTCTCCACAACCTTCCCAGCACTTGTTGTTTGTTGATTTGTTTATGATGGCCATTCTCACCTGTGTGAAGTGGTATCTCATTGTGGTTTGAATTTGTATCTCTTTGATGGCTAGTGATGCTGAGGGTTCTTTCACATATCTATGGGCCTTCTGTATGTCCTCCTTGGAGAACATACTTAGCCCATTTTTAATAGGGTTTTTTGTCTTCAGAGTGGAGTCCTATGAGTTCTTTATATATTTTGGAGATCAATCTCTGGTCTGGGTATTGTTGGCAAATATATATTCCCATACAGTTGATTCCCTTTCCATTTTACTGCTGTTTTCTTTAGCTGTGAAGATTTTTAACTTGATGTAGTCCTATTTGTTTATTCTTTCCTTTATTTCCCTTGCCTTAGAGCAGCAGAAATATTGCTGTGTGATATATCTGAGATTTTACTGTCTATGTTTTCCTCTTGAACATTTATGGTATTATGGCTTATGTTTATGTGTTTTCTCCATCTTGAATTTATTCTGCTGTATGATATAAGATATTGGTCTAGTTTCATTTCTTTTTTTTTTCATGTAGCTGTACAGTTCTCCCAACACCATTTGTTGAAGAGGCTATTTTTTCTCTATATTATGCCTTTGCCCCCTTCATCAAATATTAATAGACCATCAAGACATGGATTTATCTCTGGGTTTTCTATTCTGTTGCACTGATATATATGTTGGTTCTCATGCCTATACCAGGCTGTTTTGATTACAGTGGTCTTGTGATATAGTTTTATATCAGGTTTTGTGATCCCTCCTATAATGATTGCTGAGGCTATTTGGGTTTGTTTTCAGTTCCATATACATTTTTGAAATGTTTGTTCTAAATCCGTGAAGTATGTTATAGGTATTTTAATAAGGATTGTGGTGAACATATTAATTGCTTTGCATAGTATGGGCATTTTAATGATGTTAATTTTTCAGATCCATAAACATGGTATATGCTTCCATTTATTTGTATCTTCCTTAATTTAGTTTTTCAGTTTTTTGAGTACAGGTCTTTAACCTCATTGGTTACAGTTTTTTCACAGATACTTTATTTTTTTGTTGCTAGAGTAAATGGGAATTTTTCCTAATTTCACTATCTGATATTTCATTGTTGGTGTACAAAACTGCCTTCATTTTCTGAATATTGACTTTGTATCCTGCTATATAGCCAAATTCACATATTAGGTTGAGTAGTTTTTTAGTGGAGACTATTGGGTTTTCTATATACACTATCATGTCATCTGCAAATACTGACAGTTTTACTTCCTCCTTCCCAATTTGGATGCTTTTATTTCTTTTTCTTGTCTGATCAAAGTGGCTAGAACTTCTAATACTATGTTGAATAAAAGTGGTGCCTGCAGACACCCTTGTCTTGTTCCTGGTCTTAGTGGGAAAGCTTTTAGTTTTTACCCATTGAATATAATGTTAGTTGTAGGTTTCTTGTATATGGCTTTTATTTTTTTTTTGTATATGGCCTTTATTATGTTGAGGTATGATCTTTCTATTCCCACTTTGCTGAGGGATTTTAACATGAATGAGTGCTCTGTTTTATCAAATGCTTTTTCAGCATCTATTAAGATGATCATGTGGTTTTTATATTTCATTTTGTTTATGT